TCTGAGTAAGATGGTTAAGGTTAGGGTTAAGGTGGTCTGAGTAAGATGGTTAAGGTTAGGGTTAAGGTGGTCTGAGTAAGATGGTTAAGGTTAGGGTTAAGGTGGTCTGAGTAAGATGGTTAAGGTTAGGGTTAAGGTGGTCTGAGTAAGATGGTTAAGGTTAGGGTTAAGGTGGTCTGAGTAAGATGGTTAAGGTTAGGGTTAAGGTGGTCTGAGTAAGATGGTTAAGGTTAGGGTTAAGGTGGTCTGAGTAAGATGGTTAAGGTTAGGGTTAAGGTGGTCTGAGTAAGATGGTTAAGGTTAGGGTTAAGGTGGTCTGAGTAAGATGGTTAAGGTTAGGGTTAAGGTGGTCTGAGTAAGATGGTTAAGGTTAGGGTTAAGGTGGGCTGAGTTAGATGGTTAAGGTTAGGGTTAAGGTGGTCTGAGTAAGATGGTTAAGGTTAGGGTTAAGGTGGTCTGAGTAAGATGTTAAGGTTAGGGTTAAGGTGGTCTGAGTAAGATGGTTAAGGTTAGGGTTAAGGTGGTCTGAGTAAGATGGTTAAGGTTAGAGTTAAGGTGGTCTGAGTAAGATGGTTAAGGTTAGGGTTAAGGTGGTCTGAGTAAGATGTTTAAGGTTAGGGTTAAGGTGGGCCTGAGTAAGATGGTTAAGGTTAGGGTTAAGGTGGTCTGAGTAAGATAGTTAAGGTTAGGGTTAAGGTGGTCTGAGTAAGATGGTTAAGGTTAGGGTTAAGGTGGTCTGAGTAAGATGGTGAAGGTTAGGGTTAAGGTGGTCTGAGTAAGATGGTTAAGGTTAGGGTTAAGGTGGTCTGAGTAAGATGGTTAAGGTTAGGGTTAAGGTGGTCTGAGTAAGATGGTTAGGGTTAAGGTGGTCTGAGTAAGAGGGTTAAGGTTAGGGTTAAGGTGGTCTGAGTAAGATGGTTAAGGTTAGGGTTAAGGTGGTCTGAGTAAGATGGTTAAGGTTAGGGTTAAGGTGGTCTGAGTAAGATGGTTAAGGTTAGGGTTAAGGTGGTCTGAGTAAGATGGTTAAGGTTAGGGTTAAGGTGGTCTGAGTAAGATGGTTAGGGTTAAGGTGGTCTGAGTAAGATGGTTAGGGTTAAGGTGGTCTGAGTAAGATGGTTAAGGTTAGGGTTAAGGTGGTCTGAGTAAGATGGTGAAGGTTAGGGTTAAGGTGGTCTGAGTAAGATGGTTAAGGTTAGGGTTAAGGTGGTCTGAGTAAGATGGTGAAGGTTAGGGTTAAGGTGGTCTGAGTAAGATGGTTAAGGTTAGGGTTAAGGAGGTCTGAGTAAGATGGTTAAGGTTAGGGTTAAGGTGGTCTGAGTAAGATGGTGAAGGTTAGGGTTAAGGTGGTCTGAGTAAGATGGTGAAGGTTAGGGTTAAGGTGGTCTGAGTAAGATGGTTAAGGTTAGGGTTAAGGTGGTCTGAGTAAGATGGTTAGGGTTAAGGTGGTCTGAGTAAGATGGTTAAGGTTAGAGTTAAGGTGGTCTGAGTAAGATGGTTAAGGTTAGGGTTAAGGTGGTCTGAGTAAGATGGTTAAGGTTAGGGTTAAGGTGGTCTGAGTAAGATGGTTAAGGTTAGGGTTAAGGTGGTCTGAGTAAGATGGTTAAGGTTAGGGTTAAGGTGGTCTGAGTAAGATGGTTAAGGTTAGGGTTAAGGTGGTCTGAGTAAGATGGTTAAGGTTAGGGTTAAGGCGGTCTGAGTAAGATGGTTAAGGTTAGGGTTAAGGTGGTCTGAGTAAGATGGTTAAGGTTAGGGTTAAGGTGGGTCTGAGTAAGATGGTTAAGGTTAGGGTTAAGGTGGTCTGAGTAAGATGGTTAAGGTTAGGGTTAAGGTGGTCTGAGTAAGATGGTTAAGGTTAGGGTTAAGGTGGTCTGAGTAAGATGGTTAAGGTTAGGGTTAAGGTGGTCTGAGTAAGATGGTTAAGGTTAGGGTTAAGGTGGTCTGAGTAAGATGGTTAAGGTTAGAGTTAAGGTGGTCTGAGTAAGATGGTTAAGGTTAGGGTTAAGGTGGTCTGAGTAAGATGGTTAAGGTTAGGGTTAAGGTGGTCTGAGTAAGATGGTTAAGGTTAGGGTTAAGGTGGTCTGAGTAAGATGGTTAAGGTTAGGGTTAAGGTGGTCTGAGTAAGATGGTTAGGGTTAAGGTGGTCTGAGTAAGATGGTTAGGGTTAAGGTGGTCTGAGTAAGATGGTTAAGGTTAGGGTTAAGGTGGTCTGAGTAAGATGGTGAAGGTTAGGGTTAAGGTGGTCTGAGTAAGATGGTTAAGGTTAGGGTTAAGGTGGTCTGAGTAAGATGGTTAAGGTTAGGGTTAAGGTGGTCTGAGTAAGATGGTTAAGGTTAGGGTTAAGGAGGTCTGAGTAAGATGGTTAAGGTTAGGGTTAAGGTGGTCTGAGTAAGATGGTGAAGGTTAGGGTTAAGGTGGTCTGAGTAAGATGGTGAAGGTTAGGGTTAAGGTGGTCTGAGTAAGATGGTTAAGGTTAGGGTTAAGGTGGTCTGAGTAAGATGGTTAGGGTTAAGGTGGTCTGAGTAAGATGGTTAAGGTTAGAGTTAAGGTGGTCTGAGTAAGATGGTTAAGGTTAGGGTTAAGGTGGTCTGAGTAAGATGGTTAAGGTTAGGGTTAAGGTGGTCTGAGTAAGATGGTTAAGGTTAGGGTTAAGGTGGTCTGAGTAAGATGGTTAAGGTTAGGGTTAAGGTGGTCTGAGTAAGATGGTTAAGGTTAGGGTTAAGGTGGTCTGAGTAAGATGGTTAAGGTTAGGGTTAAGGCGGTCTGAGTAAGATGGTTAAGGTTAGGGTTAAGGTGGTCTGAGTAAGATGGTTAAGGTTAGGGTTAAGGTGGGTCTGAGTAAGATGGTTAAGGTTAGGGTTAAGGTGGTCTGAGTAAGATGGTTAAGGTTAGGGTTAAGGTGGTCTGAGTAAGATGGTTAAGGTTAGGGTTAAGGTGGTCTGAGTAAGATGGTTAAGGTTAGGGTTAAGGTGGTCTGAGTAAGATGGTTAAGGTTAGGGTTAAGGTGGTCTGAGTAAGATGGTTAAGGTTAGAGTTAAGGTGGTCTGAGTAAGATGGTTAAGGTTAGGGTTAAGGTGGTCTGAGTAAGATGGTTAAGGTTAGGGTTAAGGCGGTCTGAGTAAGATGGTTAAGGTTAGGGTTAAGGTGGTCTGAGTAAGATGGTTAAGGTTAGGGTTAAGGTGGGTCTGAGTAAGATGGTTAAGGTTAGGGTTAAGGTGGTCTGAGTAAGATGGTTAAGGTTAGGGTTAAGGTGGTCTGAGTAAGATGGTTAAGGTTAGGGTTAAGGTGGTCTGAGTAAGATGGTTAAGGTTAGGGTTAAGGTGGTCTGAGTAAGATGGTTAAGGTTAGAGTTAAGGTGGTCTGAGTAAGATGGTTAAGGTTAGGGTTAAGGTGGTCTGAGTAAGATGGTTAAGGTTAGGGTTAAGGTGGGTTGGGGTTATTTTTTGGGAATGGCTGGTTAAGTTTAGGCAAAAATGGGTAGTTTGTTATATTTACTTCCGCTTCCGTCCAGATTCCGTGTATGATCGACTGCTGCGTATGATCAATGGATCAAACTGAACTTCCGGACGAATCCGGGAGTGACACCTGAGGCCAACAGGAGGTTCTACCTGAGGCCAACAGGAGGTTCTACCTGAGGCCAACAGGAGGTTCTACCTGAGGCCAACAGGAGGTTCTACCTGAGGCCAACAGGAGGTTCTACCTGAGGCCAACAGGAGGTTCTACCTGAGGCCAACAGGAGGTTCTACCTGAGGCCAACAGGAGGTTCTACCTGAGGCCAACAGGAGGTTCTACCTGAGGCCAACAGGAGGTTCTACCTGAGGCCAACAGGAGGTTCTACCTGAGGCCAACAGGAGGTTCTACCTGAGGCCAACAGGAGGTTCTACCTGAGGCCAACAGGAGGTTCTACCTGAGGCCAACAGGAGGTTCTACCTGAGGCCAACAGGAGGTTCTACCTGAGGCCAACAGGAGGTTCTACCTGAGGGGAGGTCGGTGAAAATGGCAGACTGACCTACTTTTTGTTAGCTCTTGGTTTCTTTCTCCAAAGTTGGAGACCGACCGAACAATATCCAAGGCTTTTTAAGTGACTTCACAAACATCCTCTGACCCGCTGTCTGAGTGAATACCGACGCTCCTGATCTTCCACAGACGCATCTTGACCATGAGTACACCATGACCATGACTACACCATGACCATGACTACACCATGACCATGACTACACCATGACCATGAGTACACCATGACCATGACTACACCATGACCATGACTACACCATGACCATGACTACACCATGACCATGAGTACACCATGACCATGACTACACCATGACCATGAGTACACCATGACCATGACTACACCATGACCATGACTACACCATGACCATGACTACACCATGACCATGACTACACCATGACCATGACTACACCATGACCATGACTACACCATGACCATGACTACACCATGACCATGAGTACACCATGACCATGACTACACCATGACCATGACTACACCATGACCATGACTACACCATGACCATGACTACACCATGACCATGACTACACCATGACCATGACTACACCATGACCATGAGTACACCATGACCATGACTACACCATGACCATGACTACACCATGACCATGACTACACCATGACCATGACTACACCATGACCATGACTACACCATGACCATGAGTACACCATGACCATGACTACACCATGACCATGACTACACCATGACCATGACTACACCATGACCATGACTACACCATGACCATGAGTACACCATGACCATGACTACACCATGACCATGAGTACACCATGACCATGACTACACCATGACCATGAGTACACCATGACCATGACTACACCATGACCATGAGTACACCATGACCATGACTACACCATGACCATGACTACACCATGACCATGACTACACCATGACCATGAGTACACCATGACCATGACTACACCATGACCATGAGTACACCATGACCATGACTACACCATGGACACGGAACAAGCACGAGAGGACGGGAAGGCCTTCTCTACGCCATCGAAAGTTAGTGCTCGTAAGACGCCGAAACACGATGATGAAGAAGATGATGATGAAGAAGAAGATGATGAAGAAGATGATGATGAAGAAGAAGATGATGAAGAAGATGATGATGAAGAAGATAAAGAAGAAGATGATGAAGAAGATGATGATGAAGATGATGATGAAGAAGATGAAGAAGAAGAAGAAGATGAAGAAGATATATCGGGCTCAGTAATTCTTGCCACTGTCAATAAGCTCAGTGAGAAGTTTGATTCCCAAGAATGAGAGAGTTCGATGCTAAGCTAACGCAACAGCAGCACATGACCCTCATCTCTCTGCTGTGATTGGCTGTCTTTCTCCTGCACTTAAAATAGCGAGGCGCCAAACTCCACATTAGTCAGGACTAATGTGGTCGTACTTCCTGGTTCTAGTCAGGACTAATGTGGTTGTACTTCCTGGTTCTAGTCAGGACTAATGTGGTTGTACTTCCTGGTTCTAGTCAGGACTAATATGGTCGTACTTCCTGGTTCTAGTCAGGACTAATATGGTCGTACTTCCTGGTTCTAGTCAGGACTAATATGGTCGTACTTCCTGGTTCTAGTCAGGACTAATATGGTCGTACTTCCTGGTTCTAGTCAGGACTAATGTGGTCGTACTTCCTGGTTCTAGTCAGGACTAATGTGGTCGTACTTCCTGGTTCTAGTCAGGACTAATGTGGTCTTACTTCCTGGTTCTAGTCAGAACTAATGTGGTTGTACTTCCTGGTTCTAGTCAGGACTAATATGGTCGTACTTCCTGGTTCTAGTCAGGACTAATGTGGTCGTACTTCCTGGTTCTAGTCAGGACTAATGTGGTCCTACTTCCTGGTTCTAGTCAGGACTAATGTGGTTGTACTTCCTGGTTCTAGTCAGGACTAATATGGTCGTACTTCCTGGTTCTAGTCAGGACTAATATGGTCGTACTTCCTGGTTCTAGTCAGGACTAATGTGGTCGTACTTCCTGGTTCTAGTCAGGACTAATGTGGTCGTACTTCCTGGTTCTAGTCAGGACTAATGTGGTCGTACTTCCTGGTTCTAGTCAGGACTAATGTGGTCTTACTTCCTGGTTCTAGTCAGAACTAATGTGGTTGTACTTCCTGGTTCTAGTCAGGACTAATGTGGTCGTACTTCCTGGTTCTAGTCAGGACTAATATGGTCGTACTTCCTGGTTCTAGTCAGGACTAATGTGGTCGTACTTCCTGGTTCTAGTCAGGACTAATGTGGTCGTACTTCCTGGTTCTAGTCAGGACTAATGTGGTCGTACTTCCTGGTTCTAGTCAGGACTAATGTGGTCGTACTTCCTGGTTCTAGTCAGGACTAATGTGGTCGTACTTCCTGGTTCTAGTCAGGACTAATGTGGTCGTACTTCCTGGTTCTAGTCAGGACTAATGTGGTCGTACTTCCTGGTTCTAGTCAGGACTAATATGGTCGTACTTCCTGGTTCTAGTTAGGACTAATATGGTCGTACTTCCTGGTTCTAGTTAGGACTAATATGGTCGTACTTCCTGGTTCTAGTTAGGACTAATATGGTCGTACTTCCTGGTTCTAGTTAGGACTAATATGGTCGTACTTCCTGGTTCTAGTTAGGACTAATATGGTCGTACTTCCTGGTTCTAGTTAGGACTAATATGGTCGTACTTCCTGGTTCTAGTTAGGACTAATGTGGTCGTACTTCCTGGTTCTAGTCAGGACTAATATGGTCGTACTTCCTGGTTCTAGTCAGGACTAATGTGGTCGTACTTCCTGGTTCTAGTCAGGACTAATGTGGTCGTACTTCCTGGTTCTAGTCAGGACTAATGTGGTCGTACTTCCTGGTTCTAGTCAGGACTAATGTGGTCGTACTTCCTGGTTCTAGTCAGGACTAATGTGGTCGTACTTCCTGGTTCTAGTCAGGACTAATGTGGTCGTACTTCCTGGTTCTAGTCAGGACTAATGTGGTCGTACTTCCTGGTTCTAGTCAGGACTAATGTGGTCGTACTTCCTGGTTCTAGTCAGGACTAATGTGGTCGTACTTCCTGGTTCTAGTCAGGACTAATGTGGTCGTACTTCCTGGTTCTAGTCAGGACTAATGTGGTCGTACTTCCTGGTTCTAGTCAGGACTAATGTGGTCGTACTTCCTGGTTCTAGTCAGGACTAATGTGGTCGTACTTCCTGGTTCTAGTCAGGACTAATGTGGTTGTACTTCCTGGTTCTAGTCAGGACTAATGCGGTCGTACTTCCTGGTTCTAGTCAGGACTAATGTGGTCGTACTTCCTGGTTCTAGTCAGGACTAATATGGTCGTACTTCCTGGTTCTAGTCAGGACTAATGTGGTCGTACTTCCTGGTTCTAGTCAGGACTAATGTGGTCGTACTTCCTGGTTCTAGTCAGGACTAATGTGGTCGTACTTCCTGGTTCTAGTGAGGACTAATGTGGTCGTACTTCCTGGTTCTAGTCAGGACTAATGTGGTCGTACTTCCTGGTTCTAGTCAGGACTAATGTGGTCGTACTTCCTGGTTCTAGTCAGGACTAATGTGGTCGTACTTCCTGGTTCTAGTCAGGACTAATGTGGTCGTACTTCCTGGTTCTAGTCAGGACTAATGTGGGCGTACTTCCTGGTTCTAGTAAGGACTCGAGCTGCTGCATTTTGAATGTACTGCAGCTGTTTTACAGCCTGTTTGGACAGACCTGTGAGCAGGCCATTGCAGTAGTCTAACCTACTGGAGACAAATGCATGGATAAGAATCTCCAAGTCTGCTTTAGACACTATGTTTTTGATCCTGGCAATGTTTTTTAGATGGTAAAAAGCTGCTGATGTTACTGATTTGATGTGGCTATTAAAATTTAAGTCTGAGTCCAGTATTACCCCTAGATTTCTGACCTTGTTTGAAGGTTTTAGGGAGAGAGACTGTAGGTGACAGATGACGCTCTCTCTTTGTTTCTGGGGACCAAAGACAATCATTTCAGTTTTGTCTGCGTTTAGCTGAAGGAAGTTGTTTTGCATCCACTCACTGATCTGTTGGATACAGTGAAGGAGTGAGTCCACTGGTCCATGTTCTCCTGCAGTCAGTGAGACATAGATCTGAGTGTCGTCTGCATAGTTGTGATAGGACACTTTGTTTCTGCGTATTAACTGACCTAACGGCAGCATGTAGAGATTGAACAGAAGAGGTCCCAGGATCGACCCCTGTGGTACTCCACAGGTCAGGGCCATATGATCTGAGACACAGTAAAGTCCGTCTGACCTTAATCTAATCTAATCTAATCTAATCTAATCTAATCTAATCTAATCTAATCTAATCTAATCTAATCTAATCTAATCTAATCTAATCTAATCTCTGAACAGTGATCAGTGAAGCCTGAGCCTGTAAAAAAGTGAGTAATCAGAGAACCAGGCCCTGGGCCAATCAAAAAAGTGGGCGGGCCTAATGTTCCTACGGAGGGAAACTCCTGAGTCTGAATCAGAGAAAACTGCGTCAGTGTCATCTGCAGAACTGAGGTAAGAACCACTGAGCACAGGGACAGAGCACAGGGACAGAGCACAGGGGCAGAGCACAGGGGCAGAGCACAAGGACAGAGCACAGGGGCAGAGCACAGGGACAGAGCACAGGGACAGAGCACAGGGACAGAGCACAGGGGCAGAGCACAGGGACAGAGCAGAGGGACAGAGCACAGGGACAGAGCACAGGGGCAGAGCACAGGGACAGAGCACAGGGGCAGAGCACAGGGACAGAGCACAGGGGCAGAGCACAGGGACAGAGCAGAGGGACAGAGCACAGGGACAGAGCACAGGGGCAGAGCACAGGGACAGAGCACAGGGGCAGAGCACAGGGACAGAGCACAGGGGCAGAGCACAGGGACAGAGCAGAGGGACAGAGCACAGGGACAGAGCACAGGGGCAGAGCACAGGGACAGAGCACAGGGGCAGAGCACAGGGACAGAGCACAGGGGCAGAGCACAGGGACAGAGCACAGGGACAGAGCACAGGGACAGAGCACAGGGGCAGAGCACAGGGGCAGAGCACAGGGACAGAGCAGAAAGACAGAGCACAGGGACAGAGCACAGGGGCAGAGCACAGGGACAGAGCACAGGGGGCAGAGCACAGGGACAGAGCACAGGGACAGAGCACAGGGACAGAGCACAGGGGCAGAGCACAGGGGCAGAGCACAGGGACAGAGCAGAAAGACAGAGCACAGGGACAGAGCACAGGGGCAGAGCACAGGGACAGAGCACAGGGGCAGAGCACAGGGGCAGAGCACAGGGACAGAGCACAGGGACAGAGCACAGGGACAGAGCACAGGGGCAGAGCACAGGGACAGAGCACAGGGACAGAGCACAGGGGCAGAGCACAGGGACAGAGCACAGGGACAGAGCACAGGGGCAGAGCACAGGGACAGAGCACAGGGACAGAGCAGAAAGACAGAGCACAGGGACAGAGCACAAGGACAGAGCACAGGGGCAGAGCACAGGGACAGAGCACAGGGACAGAGCACAGGGACAGAGCACAGGGGCAGAGCATAGGGACAGAGCAGAAAGACAGAGCACAGGGACAGAGCACAGGGACAGAGCACAAGGACAGAGCACAGGGGCAGAGCACAGGGACAGAGCACAGGGACAGAGCACAGGGGCAGAGCATAGGGACAGAGCAGAAAGACAGAGCACAGGGACAGAGCACAAGGACAGAGCACAGGGGCAGAGCACAGGGACAGAGCACAGGGACAGAGCACAGGGACAGAGCACAGGGACAGAGCACAAGGGCAGAGCACAGGGACAGAGCACAGGGACAGAGCACAGGGACAGAGCACAGGGACAGAGCACAGGGACAGAGCACAGGGGCAGAGCACAGGGACAGGAGCACAGGGACAGAGCACAGGGAGAGTTGTGTGCAGCTGTGTCTAGTTGTGTGCAGCTGTGTCTAGTTGTGTTGCAGTATCAGTATCGTTTGCAGATGTTGCTCACAGACATTTCTGTAACTAGACCTCAGAAAACCTGCAGCGTCGAAACTGAACCAAAGCAGGACTAAAGCAGGTCTAAAGCAAGTCTAAAGCAGGACTAAAGCAGGACTAAAGCAGGACTAAAGCAGGACTAAAGCAGGACTAAAGCAAGTCTAAAGCAGGACTAAAGCAGGACTAAAGCAGGACTAAAGCAGGACTAAAGCAGGTCTAAAGCAGGACTAAAGCAGGACTAAAGCAGGACTAAAGCAGGACTAAAGCAGGACTAAAGCAGGTCTAAAGCAGGACTAAAGCAGGACTAAAGCAGGACTAAAGCAGGACTAAAGCAGGTCTAAAGCAGGACTAAAGCAGGACTAAAACAGGACTAAAGCAGGACTAAAGCAGGACTAAAGCAGGTCTAAAGCAGGACTAAAGCAGGACTAAAGCAGGTCTAAAGCAGGACTAGAGCAGGTCTAGGGGAGGTCTAAAGCAGGTCTAAAGCAGGTCTAAAGCAGGACTAAAACAGGACTAAAGCAGGACTAAAGCAGGACTAAAGCAGGACTAAAGCAGGTCTAAAGCAGGTCTAAAGCAGGACTAAAGCAGGACTAAAGCAGGACTAAAGCAGGTCTAAAGCAGGTCTAAAGCAGGACTAAAGCAGGTCTAAAGCAGGACTAAAGCAGGACTAAAGCAGGACTAAAGCAGGACTAAAGCAGGTCTAAAGCAGGACTAAAGCAGGACTAAAGCAGGACTAAAGCAGGTCTAAAGCAGGTCTAAAGCAGGACTAAAGCAGGACTAAAGCAGGTCTAAAGCAGGACTAAAGAAGGACTAAAGCAGGACTAAAGCAGGACTAAAGCAGGTCTAAAGCAGGTCTAAAGCAGGACTAAAGCAGGACTAAAGCAGGACTAAAGCAGGACTAAAGCAGGTCTAAAGCAGGTCTAAAGCAGGACTAAAGCAGGACTAAAGCAGGTCTAGAGCAGGACTAAAGCAGGTCTAGAGCAGGACTAAAGCAGGACTAAAGCAGGTCTAAAGCAGGTCTAAAGCAGGACTAAAACAGGTCTAAAGCAGGACTAGAGCAGGACTAAAGCAGGACTAGAGCAGGACTAGAGCAGGACTAAAGCAGGTCTAAAGCAGGTCTAAAGCAGGACTAGAGCAGGACTAGAGCAGGTCTAGAGCAGGTCTAAAGCAGGACTAGAGCAGTACTAGAGCAGGTCTAAAGGCTAGGTCTAGAGCAGGTCTAGGGCAGGTCTAAAGCAGGACTAAAGCAGGACTAAAGCAGGTCTAAAGCAGGTCTAAAGCAGGACTAAAACAGGTCTAAAGCAGGACTAGAGCAGGACTAAAGCAGGACTAGAGCAGGACTAGAGCAGGACTAAAGCAGGTCTAAAGCAGGTCTAAAGCAGGACTAAAGCAGGACTAGAGCAGGACTAGAGCAGGTCTAGAGCAGGTCTAGAGCAGGTCTAAAGCAGGACTAGAGCAGGACTAGAGCAGGTCTAGAGCAGGTCTAAAGCAGGACTAAGGCAGGTCTAAAGCAGGACTAGAGCAGGACTAGAGCAGGTCTAGAGCAGGTCTAGAGCAGGTCTAAAGCAGGACTAGAGCAGGTCTAAAGCAGGTCTAAAGCAGGACTAGAGCAGGACTAGAGCAGGTCTAAAGCAGGTCTAAAGCAGGACTAGAGCAGGTCTAGAGCAGGACTAGAGCAGGACTAGAGCAGGACTAGAGCAGGACTAAAGCAGGACTAGAGCAGGACTAGAGCAGGACTAAAGCAGGTCTAAAGCAGGACTAGAGCAGGACTAGAGCAGGTCTAGAGCAGGTCTAAAGCAGGACTAGAGCAGGTCTAGGGCAGGTCTAAAGCAGGACTAAAGCAGGACTAAAGCAGGTCTAAAGCAGGACTAAAACAGGTCTAAAGCAGGACTAAGCAGGACTAAAGCACGGACTAGAAGCAGGACTAGAGCAAGACTAGAGCAGGACTAAAGCAGGACTAAGAGCAAGGACTAGAGCAGGACTAAAGCAGGTCTAAAGCAGGTCTAAAGCAGGACTAAAGCAGGACTAAAGCAGGTCTAGAGCAGGACTAAAGCAGGTCTAGAGCAGGACTAGAGGTCAGCAGTCTAAGGCAGGTCTAAAGCAGGACTAAAGCAGGACTAAAGCAGGACTAAAGAAGGACTAAAGCAGGTCTAAAGCAGGACTAGAGCAGGACTAGAGCAGGACTAGAGCAGGTCTAGAGCAGGACTAAAGCAGGTCTAAAGCAGGACTAAAGAGGACTAAAGCAGGACTAAAACAGGACTAAAACAGGACTAAAGCAGGACTAAAGCAGGACTAAAACAGGACTAAAGCAGGTCTAAGAGCAGGACTAGAGCAGGTCTAGAGCAGGACTAAAGCAGGTCTAAAGCAGGTCTAAAGCAGGACTAAAGCAGGACTAGAGCAGGACTAAAGCAGGACTAAAAGCAGGACTAAAGCAGGTCCTAAAAGCAGGTCTAAAGCAGGACTAAAGCAGGTCTAAAGCAGGTCTAAAGCAGGACTAAAGCAGGCCTAAAGCAGGACTCTAAAGCAGGCCTAAAGCAGGACTAAAGCAGGCCTAAAGCAGGTCTAAAGCAGGACTAAAGCAGGACTAAAGCAGGACTAAAGCAGGACTAAAGCAGGACTAAAGCAGGTCTAAAGCAGGTCTAAAGCAGGACTAAAGCAGGACTAAAGCAGGTCTAAAGCAGGACTAGGCAGGTCTAGGGGAGGTCTAAAGCAGGTCTAAAGCAGGTCTAAAGCAGGACTAAAACAGGACTAAAACAGGACTAAAGCAGGACTAAAGCAGGACTAAAGCAGGTCTAAAGCAGGACTAAAGCAGGACTAAAGCAGCAGGACTAAAGCAGGACTAAAGCAGGACTAAGCAGGACTAAAGCAGGTCTAAAGCAGGTCTAAAGCAGGACTAAAGCAGGTCTAAAGCAGGACTAAAGGGCCTAAAGCAGGACTAAAGCAGGCCTAAAAGCAGGTCTAAAGCAGGACTAAAGCAGGACTAAAGCAGGTCTAAAGCAGGTCTAAAGCAGGCCTAAAGCAGGACTAAAGCAGGCCTAAAGCAGGTCTAAAGCAGGACTAAAGCAGGACTAAAGCAGGACTAAAGAGGTCAAAGCAGGACTAAAGCAGGCCTAAAGCAGGACTAAAGCAGGTCTAAAGCAGGACTAAAGCAGGACTAAAGAAGGACTAAAGCAGGACTAAAGCAGGACTAAAGCAGGTCTAAAGCAGGTCTAAAGCAGGACTAAAGCAGGACTAGAGCAGGACTAAAGCAGGACTAAAGCAGGACTAAAGCAGGTCTAAAGCAGGTCTAAAGCAGGACTAAAGCAGGACTAAAGCAGGTCTAAAGCAGGACTAAAGCAGGTCTAAAGCAGGTCTAAAGCAGGACTAAAGCAGGACTAAAGCAGGTCTAAAGCAGGACTAAAGCAGGACTAAAGCAGGTCTAAAGCAGGACTAAAGGACTAAAGCAGGACTAAAGCAGGTCTAAAGCAGGACTAAAGCAGGACTAAAGCAGGACTAAAGCAGGTCTAGAGCAGGACTAAGAGCAGGTCTAGAGCAGGTCTAGAGCAGGACTAAAGCAGGTCTAAAGCAGGACTAAAGCAGGTCTAAAGCAGGTCTAAAGCAGGTCTAAAGCAGGACTAAAACAGGACTAAAGCAGGACTAAAGCAGGTCTAAAGCAGGACTAAAACATGACTAAAACAGGACTAAAGCAGGACTAAAGCAGGACTAAAGCAGGACTAAAGCAGGTCTAAAGCAGGACTAAAGCAGGACTAAAGCAGGACTAAAGCAGGTCTAAAGCAGGTCTAGAGCAGGACTAGAGCAGGACTAGAGCAGGACTAGAGCAGGTCTAGAACAGGACTAGAGCAGGTCTAAAGCAGGTCTAAAGCAGGTCTAAAGCAGGACTAGAGCAGATTGTTTAAAATTTGTTCTGTTCTTTCTTTACAGTGCAACTATGAGCGATCCATCGCCCTCTGAAGTCATCTTCACAGACTCAAACTCCCCCTCTCCTCTTTCTCCTCCCTCCCCTTCCTCTCCTCCCTCCCCTTCCTCTCTCCCCTCCCCTCCCTCTCCTCCCTCCCCTCCCTCTCTCCCCTCCCCTCCCTCTCCTCCCTCCCCTTCCTCTCTCCCCTCCCCTCCCTCTCCCTCCCTCCCCTCCCTCTCTCCCCTCCCCTTCCTCTCCTCCCTCCCCTTCCTCTCTCCCCTCCCCTCCCTCTCCTCCCTCCCCTCCCTCCCCTCCCCTCCCTCTCCCCTCCCCTTCCTCTCCTCCCTCCCCTTCCTCTCTCCCCTCCCCTCCCTCCCCTCCCCTCCCTCTCCCCCCTCCCCTCCCTCTCTCCCCTCCCCTCCCTCTCCTCCCTCCCCTCCCTCTCTCCCCTCCCCTCCCTCTCCTCCCTCCCCTTCCTCTCTCCCCTCGCCTCCCTCCCCCAGGGAACCAGACCCAGAGCTGGTCCAGCCTCAGTCCAAACCCCCGGAGCAGAGGGACCAGACCAGAGTAAAGACCCAGAGGGAGCAGCTGTGTGGGGCCTGGTCTTGGTCCAGGTCCAGACCCCTGACCCTGGTCCTGGCCCTGGTCCTGCTGGTCCTGTCCCCTCTGATCCTCCTGGGAGTCTGTGTGATGGACCTGGCGACAGGAGAGTTCTGCAGAAGTCAAAACCAAGACGACCAATCGGAGAGAGACTAGAACGAGCAACTTGTTCCATTCAAAGCAGTTAGATTTAAAAAGTGTTTAAAGCCTTTATTCAAAGACGAACAAATGAAACGAGCGTCAGAAACATTTGCACCGAACTCGCTGAGGCTCATTCTGCTTCAGCACATTTTAATAAAACATTGGTCAGAAAGTAAAGTTTGAAGTCTAAAGTCTAAGCAGCTCCTAATGTGGAATTTCATGATTTTTCTTCTGGAATAATTTTGAAAAAGTATAAATTAGCAGCTGCAGAAACAGAGACCACACGATCATACTTCCATGTTCAATTAAAGCTGGGGTCCCTGACTTTTCTCCCATTGTCTCAACAGAGAGAAAGAGCCCTGTGAGTCACAATCTGACCCTGTGGGCTGAGAGATGATGGGCTGAGAGCTGATTGGCTGAGAGCTGATTGGTTGAGAGCTGATTGGTTGATGGGCTGAGAGCTGATTGGCTGAGAGCTGATTGGTTGAGAGCTGAGAGCTGATTGGTTGATTGGCTGAGAGCTGATGGGCTGAGAGCTGATGGGCTGAGAGCTGATTGGCTGAGAGCTGATTGGCTGAGAGCTGATTGGCTGAGAGCTGATTGGTTGAGAGCTGAGAGCTGATTGGTTGATTGGCTGAGAGCTGATGGGCTGAGAGCTGATGGGCTGAGAGCTGATTGGCTGAGAGCTGATTGGTTGAGAGCTGAGAGCTGATTGGTTGATTGGCTGAGAGCTGATGGGCTGAGAGCTGATGGGCTGAGAGCTGATTGGCTGAGAGCTGATTGGTTGAGAGAGGCCACTCTATTTTAAATCTGCTTTTGGAAAGGGAAAAGTGAAAGAATCAGCTGTGAGAGAGAACGTGGGTATTTTATGAAACATTCTGTGGTCTGAAAGTTAGGTACCCCAGCTTTAAAGCCGTTTGGAATCTCTGCAGTGGAATGATTAAAAATAAACTACAAGATTGTTTTGGAAAAATAACTACATTTTAGGCAAGAATTCTGTCTTTTTCATCAGTTTTCCTTCATTTCCAAACTGGAATCTTGTGCAAAGGCTTTAATCATGAAAGACTGTAAATTAACGCTCGAAGCCTGTGATTCTTTGCAAACATTTATTACATTTGTTTATGATTGAAAAAACAGCCGAGTTCCGCGTCCGTCTCTTGGTCTAATGTAACGGGGTTAGATTCTTTAAAAAAAAAACACTTTTTCTTGTAGTTTGTGGTTAATTTTGGCATGTCTCGCTCCTTTCAAACTGGAATAATGTAAAAATAAGAAGGCATGCATATAGTGGTGACGTAGGCTCGCAGGACGCCATCTTGGAAATACAAAACTCTGTGTGATCATGTGACACGCTTCATGATCGAGGCCCAACTCTGAGTCCACAAAACCTTTTTCTCTCAATCTTCCACAATTTGTTTTTGGTCCGTTTGGAGTTTGTACGAATGACGCTGTAGTTCCAGAGGTAATACTCCGGTTCATTTTCCCCGCAGTAGTTTCCAAAAACACAAATATGAAGAAGCGTCTAGAGCTTTGTGGGAAGTTCAACAGCAGCATGGGTTCACATCCCCAAAACAAGACATTTTTAAAACACACATCTGCCAAAAGTGTCCAACTAGAACTTTGCAAAAACCTCTTTCTTAGTTTCTATTTAGTGCATGTTAAATCTCAAGACTGATCTCAAAAAGGCGTTTAGCTTTGTCCCTGCAGGCTCCGCTCAGACCGAGTTAGACACCGGTGCAACGCTGCCTAATCGTCTGCCTACCTGAAGGAGACAAGAAAACAGCTGCAGTGGAGGGAATCTCTCTGGGGAAAATGAACCGAGATTTCTACTTCCTGGAACAGGACGAGTTCTAAATGAAGCATTAAAAACACTTTCTGGACACATGTTGCCGTAGCTTGGTCACTCCTTCATGGTCCTTCATGGTACTGCATGGTACTGCATGGTACTGCATGGAGCTAGTTTAAATACTACTTTGAGCTGATCCCATTAAAACCCACGGGTCTGACTGGATTGGTCATTCTTCTGTTTAAAAACACGTTCTTACTACTTTTCCTTTGACGCTACGACGTAGAAAAACCACCGCGGAGCTGGAGCGGCGAGTCCGAGGCTTTCGGGCCATGTCAAGGTTTTATTGTAAAAAGTAAAGAAAGTGACAATGACACGGAGTCTGTTAAAAAAGGGCCGTGGTGTTTGGGCGAAGGCTGCGAATCAAAGCGATAGTTTTTATATATAAATGTACAGACAGTGATACACGAGTCATCGACAGACGCGGACATTAGAAAAGTGGGTTTGAGCGTAGATGTGCCGCCATGTTGGAGAGAGGCGGAGACTGAGGCAAGTTATGAGGTGCAATGTCCGTGCGTTTAGTCTTTGGGGGTTCTGTGTATGACGGCTGTAGGGGGCGCTGTAGGGGGCGCTGTAGGGGCCGCTGTAGGGGCCGCTGCTCCGGTGGTGGTTTTCCGTGGTTGTGGTCGTTAGTCGATGTATTGGGAGAGCCAGCGGAAGCCTTCGCCGTAGCCCTGTCGCTTCAGCACGCTGCACATGAACACCTCTAGGGGGCGTGTGTTCAGGTCTTTCACTGGGATGGTCCCCTGCAGAGAAGAAGAAGAACGTTTAGACAAAGAGGCGGCGGGAAAAGGACCACACTGCTCCTCAAACAGAGCTGTGCTAAAAGGATGGGGTCGAGTCTCGGTTATCGCAGCTCTGGGTTGGTCCTTTTATCATTTATGCTCTACAGAAAGAAGACATTTACACTTTGGACAGTCATTTTAGTCCCAAACCTCTTATTATTATTATTATTATTATTCCTGGGAGTCCTGTCACTGTCAACATGTTTCTTAATATTGACTTTATATTGAAACTTTAATGAGAAAACCATAAAGCCAAAGTTTGCAGGAGATAAAGGAGAAAGCCCGTTATACCTCATTTTAATTCTCATGTTCTGAAGAAACAGTTATTCTAAGATTCTGACCAGTATTAACCCTTTAAGCGCCAGAGGTTTTTTTCCAAAACGCTCAATTTTGACATCTTAATTTCAAAAGGCTATAACTTAAAAGTGATAAGAGATAAAGGCTTTCTGTAAATTAGAAAAATATAAAGGATGGTCCAAAGTGTATGTAGAGAATAAATCCCCCCATCTAATTTGCATATTATGACGTCATTTGGCGTTAGAAATAGTGGATTTTAGAATTTTCATACAATATTTGTATTTTTCTAACTGACAGACATATATTTATCACTAGAACATGAACACACACAGAGCACACACTGTAACATTGTAAATATTCATGAAAATAATAAAAAAATATAAATCATGGTGCTGCTGTGAGCAGTCTGCCCAGACGCGCGCGTTACTGCGACCCTCCTGCTGCAGCTGTCTCCCCCACTCTCTCTCATCTTCCCTGCTCTCTCTCTCATCTCCCCCACTCTCTCTCATCTTCCCTGCTCTCTCTCTCATCTCCCCCACTCTCTCTCTCTCATCTCCCCCACTCTCTCTCTCTCATCTCCCCTGCTCTCTCTCTCATCTCCCCCACTCTCTCTCATCTTCCCTGCTCTCTCTCTCATCTCCCCCACTCTCTCTCTCTCATCTACCCCACTCTCTCTCTCTCATCTTCCCTGCTCTCTCTCTCATCTCCCCCACTCTCTCTCTCTCATCTCCCCCACTCTCTCTCTCTCATCTCCCCCACTCTCTCTCTCTCATCTCCCCCACTCTCTCTCTCATCTCCCCCACTCTCTCTCTCATCTTCCCTGCTCTCTCTCTCATCTCCCCCACTCTCTCTCTCTCATCTCCCCCACTCTCTCTCTCATCTTCCCTGCTCTCTCTCTCATCTCCCCCACTCTCTCTCTCTCATCTCCCCCACTCTCTCTCTCTCTCATCTTCCCTGCTCTCTCTCTCTCATCTCCCCCACTCTCTCTCATCTCCCCCACTCTCTCTCTCTCATCTCCCCCACTCTCTCTCTCTCATCTCCCCCACTCTCTCTCTCTCATCTTCCCTGCTCTCTCTCTCATCTCCCCCACTCTCTCTCTCTCATCTCCCCCACTCTCTCTCTCTCATCTCCCCTGCTCTCTCTCATCTCCCCTGCTCTCTCTCTCATCTCCCCTGATCTCTCTCTCATCTTCCCTGCTCTCTCTCTCATCTTCCCTGCTCTCTCTCATCTCCCCTGCTCTCTCTCTCATCTCCCCCACTCTCTCTCATCTTCCCTGCTCTCTCTCTCATCTCCCCCACTCTCTCTCTCTCATCTCCCCTGCTCTCTCTCATCTCCCCTGCTCTCTCTCATCTCCCCCACTCTCTCTCATCTCCCCTGCTCTCTCTCATCTCCCCTGCTCTCTCTCATCTCCCCTGCTCTCTCTCCTCATCTTCCCTGCTCTCTCATCTCCCCTGCTCTCTCTCTCATCTCCCCTGCTCTCTCTCTCATCTCCCCTGCTCTCTCTCTCATCTCCCCTGCTCTCTCTCTCATCTTCCCTGCTCTCTCTCTCATCTTCCCTGCTCTCTCTCTCATCTCCCCTGCTCTCTCTCATCTCCCCTGCTCTCTCTCATCTCCCCTGCTCTCTCTCTCATCTCCCCTGCTCTCTCTCATCTCCCCTGCTCTCTCTCATCTCCCCTGCTCTCTCTCTCATCTCCCCTGCTCTCTCTCATCTCCCCTGCTCTCTCTCTCATCTCCCCTGCTCTCTCTCATCTCCCCTGCTCTCTCTCATCTCCCCTGCTCTCTCTCATCTCCCCTGCTCTCTCTCATCTCCCCTGCTCTCTCTCATCTCCCCTGCTCTCTCTCATCTCCCCTGCTCTCTCTCTCATCTCCCCTGCTCTCTCTCATCTCCCCTGCTCTCTCTCATCTCCCCTGCTCTCTCTCTCATCTCCCCTGCTCTCTCTCTCATCTCCCCTGCTCTCTCTCTCATCTCCCCTGCTCTCTCTCTCATCTCCCCTGCTCTCTCTCTCATCTCCCATGATCTCTCTCTCATCTCCCCTGCTCTCTCTCTCATCTCCCCTGCTCTCTCTCTCATCTCCCCTGATCTTTCTCTCATCTCCCCTGCTCTCTCTCATCTTCCCTGCTCTCTCTCTCATCTCCCCTGCTCTCTCTCATCTCCCCTGCTCTCTCTCATCTCCCCTGCTCTCTCTCATCTTCCCTGCTCTCTCTCTCATCTCCCCTGCTCTCTCTCTCATCTCCCCTGATCTCTCTCATCTCCCCTGCTCTCTCTCATCTCCCCTGCTCTCTCTCATCTCCCCTGCTCTCTCTCATCTCCCCTGTTCTCTCTCATCTCCCCGCTCTCTCTCATCTCCCCTGTTCTCTCTCATCTCCCCTGCTCTCTCTCTCATCTCCCCTGCTCTCTCTCATCTCCCCTGCTCTCTCTCATCTCCCCTGCTCTCTCTCATCTCCCCTGCTCTCTCTCATCTCCCCTGCTCTCTCTCATCTCCCCTGCTCTCTCTCATCTCCCCTGCTCTCTCTCATCTCCCCTGCTCTCTCTCATCTCCCCTGCTCTCTCTCTCATCTCCCCTGCTCTCTCTCATCTCCCCTGCTCTCTCTCATCTCCCCTGCTCTCTCTCATCTCCCCTGCTCTCTCTCATCTCCCCTGCTCTCTCTCTCATCTCCCCTGCTCTCTCTCTCATCTCCCCTGCTCTCTCTCTCATCTCCCCTGCTCTCTCTCATCTCCCCTGCTCTCTCTCATCTCCCCTGCTCTCTCTCATCTCCCCTGCTCTCTCTCTCATCTCCCCTGCTCTCTCTCATCTCCCCTGCTCTCTCTCATCTCCCCTGCTCTCTCTCATCTCCCCTGCTCTCTCTCATCTCCCCTGCTCTCTCTCTCATCTCCCCTGCTCTCTCTCATCTCCCCTGATCTCTCTGTCATCTCCCCTGCTCTCTCTCATCTCCCCTGCTCTCTCTCTCATCTCCCCTGCTCTCTCTCATCTCCCCTGCTCTCTCTCTCATCTCCCCTGCTCTCTCTCATCTCCCCTGCTCTCTCTCTCATCTCCCCTGCTCTCTCTCATCTCCCCTGATCTCTCTCATCTCCCCTGATCTCTCTCATCTCCCCTGCTCTCTCTCATCTCCCCTGCTCTCTCTCATCTCCCCTGCTCTCTCTCATCTCCCCTGATCTCTCTGTCATCTCCCCTGCTCTCTCTCGTCTAACACACACAAGACAAGGCTTCTCCAACACATTACTGTCCTGGTGATTACGTGAGGCTTGAAAATAAATATGTGGGAAGCACTTTTAGCGGAGACTTTGGCGGAAACTTCAGCGGAGGCTGGAGGTCGCGGCGCGGCGCCCCGACCCGAGTTCCAGGCTTGTTTTCCGCAAATCTAACCTGTCTCCGAACCTCCCAATGACTGGCCTTACTCTGAGAAACACTGTTCCCACTGCAGACTCTGTGCAAAGTGTCTAAAGTTAGTGTTTGGTGCGGTACAACACTCGCAGGCTGCCCCGCAGCTGCATTCGCTTCGCTATGATTTCCGGTCTGGTTCAACGCGGTCTTGCTCGAATATTTTGTATGGGAGCATGACGTTTTTTGGGGCCAGGGAGTTAGTCTGACATGTCTGCCAACTAGTGGCAGGGAGTATGAATGAATTTTGACACTCAGTTGGTCACACTCGGCCGTTTTTAACAGTACCGCAGCTTGTCGACTTAAGTCGACCGTGGCGCCTAGAGGGTTAAATAAAACAATGAATCAAATGAATGTTTGCTCCTGCTCTGAAGAAAGTCTGATGTTAAACTGCTCCATGGTACTAACGAGGCCTTCAGTCGGTGGTGTTCTAGTCCCAAGTTTAAGTTTCTGGTCCCGCCCTCACTCATCCGAGACCAGCGCCCCGTGTGGCCAGTGTGGGTCAGTTCAAGTCAAGTCAATATTCTTGGATCGTCCTAAATCACAAGTTTCTCAGAGACTTAACAGAACTGTTGATTCTCCAACACAGAACAGAGACCACATGGTATTCATGGTACAGGACCATAGGGAGAGACCACATGGTACTGGTCCATAGAGAGAGAACACATGGTACAGGACCATCGGGAGAGACCACATGGTACTGGACCATAGGGAGAGACCACATGGTACAGGACCATAGGGAGAGACCACATGGTACAGGACCATAGGGAGAGACCACATGGTACAGGACCATAGGGACAGACCACATGGTACAGGACCATAGGA